GACGTGCAGCTGAGTGCACTTTATAAAAGACTATATAATGGATTAATGCAATATCTTTGATAAGGACTTAATATGAAGGTAGGGTGTACTCATGTTCCTTCTCAAACACAATCTCTTAAGAATTATTTGAAAAGACTGCATAACGTAATGTTTTCTGTGTATGGAAATTAGAGCAATAATCTTTCATCTTTTTTGAAAATAACTTCAGAAAACTCAAGGCAAGGCACTGCAGTCTGAATCAGAATTTTGCAGTCTTTTTGTGAATTTTGTAAATATGATCTTTAAGATAATGTATTATATATATGACTTTTGTAGGTCACTAACTCATTTTTGCAGAGTTTGTGAAGCTAAATATTTAACAAAATTGATTTCTGTAAACTCAGTGTAGTTGAGGTCCAAATAGATTTTTTTTTTTTTTTTTTTTTTAAAAAATTCAATTTAATGACTTTGAAGCTGGGTGATTTTGGCCCACATCTTCCTCTTCTTTGGTCTTCAACACTTCATTTATTTTTACATCTATAACACATAGCTGTTTATGACAGACCAGTTGTTCAATGCTTTCTCCACCTGTGAGCACTTTGTTACATTTCTTTTTACATAAGGCAGTTTGACACAAAGGCTCTGCGTTGTAAGATGTTATGACTTGTCATGACAGTCATGTCTTTCTATAATATGTTGCCTTTTCAGTTGATGAATCTGGATTGTGTCTTTTTTGGTCAATTTTAACAAACTCTAAATGTTCTTCAAAAAAGTTTTTGTCTGTTGCAAAATATTTGTTGTTACATGACATCCAGAAACCTTTAAGGATATTAAGCCACACTTTAACCAAACGTCTGCACCTCATCGGATTCTTCTAATAGTAATGAATGTATTTTCTAAGCAGGTTTCTCTCATATCAGTATTTAAGTCTGGTTACAAATTTATTTGTATTATTTGCTGATTGATAGGTGTGTTTCCCCCCCTCTATTTTGGTTCCTTGAACTGAAGAGCCCTTTGCAGTTTTTCCAGTTTCAGGCAGTTACACGAGTCAAACCTCTAAACTTCCATAAGGGACGACCCAGAAATGTTTCAGATGTGTGGTGCTTTTGTTCTGATGTTCACTGTGTAATGGAAAACTGACTTCTCCCAAGTGAGTAAAAAAAAAAAAAAAATCTGTGTTCTTGATTGCTTCTTCTTGGTACTGTAAGCAAGGGGTGGGTTTATTGTTCAGAATGTTTGGTGATCTTCCATTTTAATAGAAATAACTTTAAGTAGAAATATTCTCAAAAAGTTCATCCTTAGCATAGAGCCAGTTGTGTTCCAAAGGGAATGTAGATTCAATCGATCTACTTTATGCAACCCTGTCTCTGCAATTAGTACTGAGTATATAGATTAGGTGATAGTATTTATTGGAAACCTTTAGTCCAGTTTATGTGTGTTTTTTAATGCAAAACTTTTAAAAGCGTAAGGAATTTTTATCTTCTTTTTTATTTCTTAGAACATATCTATTTGAGTATGTGCTGCCTACTGAAGTTGAAAGGCAACAATCCCTTGCTTTTTATATCAAATCAGAGTAGAACAATCTTTATATTTTGTAGTTGTTCATTATATTGATGGAAACTACAAACCCTGATTGCTTTCATTAGGTGAGCTTTTAGACTATATACTACTTTATACATCGTGCCCTTTTAATTTTTTTTAAATGAGTGGTTCTATTTATACATCTATGTATAATTGGTACCTGACTGATGTTATACGAGATCATCATTTTCTCATCTGTGTTTAGAATGCTGGAGCTTTCCAGTACCTACTTTTTTGCTGAATCCAAAGATTTTTAGTTTAAACTTGATTAAGGGGGGGAGGGGGCATTTTTAAAATGCATTGATGACATCTTTCTTGGCAGCACTGATCTTAAATCTGGTTTGAAAATCTTACCTGCTGCAGTAAATAAAACTGACCTTGAAATCTGTTGACATTTCATATCTCCACCTATTCTGTTTTGGTTCTCTAGCAGCAGACTTTTCTGAATGTTTTTTTATAAACAACCTGTGTAACATTTTTCCCCAGTAAGAGAACAATTAGCTAGCACAGCCACCTCTGATCACTGCTGCATAGTCAGTCTCTGTCGCTCTTTTGATCACAGAAACCATGGTTTCATGAAATTCAGATGTAGTATTTTTTTCCAGTCTTGGCCTAAAATACTGCTTTTAAAGTTAGAAAATCAGGACCATTTTTCAGTCATAAGACAAAACTATTTGAATGTTGTACCAATTAGCACACATTTTATTTTAGAATTTATGTGCAGACTACCAGATGACAGAATGATACAGTGAGTATGAAACAGTGTAATTCTGAGAGCAATATTTTAAAAAATTCTCAGGAGAAGGCATACAGTATTGAGAATTGCATTTAAGTTTAGTTTACATGAAGTATTGCTTGAAATACCTGTATCTTTATGTCGCAGAACAGAATAATCATGGGGACTGATTTATAAAAGAGTTGGTTGTATGGTATTCCTGCTCTTCTGATTTTTGTGTTTGGATGTTAATAATACTGTAAATAAAGGTTTCTATTTAAAATCAGAACTGGGTGACACAGTGTGTTAGCTGTCTAATACTTTAAGGCCGGTAAGAGTACCCTGGAGAGGTCAGAGAAAAGCCGGTGCTGTTACCGAGGAAAGCTGTGTACAGCAACCGATTTAAACTTTTCCTAGTTGGCGGTAAAAGCTCAGAGAGTAACAACCTCCACCTTCCGCCTGTGAGACCCATTTAGCAACTGCAGTTGCGTTGACGCTGAGTGGAATTTGTCGTTTTCAACTTGAATCGCAGTCTTTAGCAGAGCTGAAAGGAGAAGAGGCGGTAGCTTTCCCCATAACTTGGCAACAACCTACCTTCCCGAAAATAACAGCTGCTGCTTGTGTGACAGACAAATCCCACAGCTCAGCACTGCGTGTAAAGGGACACGCTGACTTCTCAGGCGCCTGACCGACCTGGCCCTGCGGGATTCTCATAGTCACGCCCTCACCTTGCCAGACTATAGGCTGAACACACACAAAAAAAGGTAAGTGCGATTTTTTTGGTTTGTTTTTTTTTAATCTAACCTAGTTTTCTTTCTGCACGCTCACCGGGAATGGTAGACAGCTCCTGCTCTTCTCTGGAAAGCGGCAAAAATGTATTTCTATCAGTGAGTTTAAAATTTAGTATTTTTTACTTATTTTGTATTGATCCAGATCTCGTCATCCAGCAGATGTTTCTTTCATAATGCATGAAATCTGTAACAGGTTATAAACAAAATCTATGGCTCCACTAAGACAGACAATCATATATTACTTCCATAACTACAACAACTTGCAAGAAAATTCTGGGAAGTGTATTTGACTTATTCATGTGCGATACAAATACAAGCCCAAGCCTAGTTACACTATCTGCCACAGACAATGAAAGACCCCACTGCCACTCTTTTCCGCAGTTCCTAAAGTACAGTAAGTTCAAGTATTTTTTCGAGTATGGGGATGTGGTACCAGAGACCTATATCCCTCGGGAAGGAATTCCACTTGAATTTCCTAATGTGCAAAAAACAGGAAGGGTATCAAAATGATTTCTGTGATGTACTTCCACTCTGTGTTTCTAGAAGCGCAAGTTAAGTTTGTGTTTTGAAAAAAAAGTACCTCTTTGTTAAGAGTGAAGGCCACAGTTGGTCGAGTCTGTCACATGAGCTCCCTCCTGCGTGTGCCTTTAAAACAGGTAGCAGAATAACGTGAAAAAAAACATAAATACAAATATCACCGCTAGTGCCTGTACTACAATGTATTTAATAACGACTTTATGAAAATACTCTAATCAACTCTGTACACTGTGCTTCTGTAGTAAAATGATGGTTTTTTCCCTTTAAAAGCCTTTACACAGTAACTGCCATTCAGAACATCTACTTTTTTGTAGACTGAACTATAACTACATTATTCTTTATTGGCTACAAGTATTGAACTTCTTGGAGCTGCCTTTTTTTAAAATAAATGGAAAAGTTACACTGCTAAGCAAATGCTGCTTTCTCAAAGGAGTTGTTTTGGCTTTAAACATACAATATAATATTACCACATAAAAAAACTTCATACAAATCTGATTTCATTAAAATTTAAGATGTACATTTACTGAAATTTTTCAGTACTTTTAAAAATGAATAAATTCTGAAATGTACTATGCAACATTAAGTAACATTTTGAGAAATGGTGTGTAGGCATTCCACTCTTTTTATTAACAAAATTCTTCACAACCTGAAGGAATTTATTTTCAAACAGTATATTGAGCAATATTTACACAACCCCTCCCAAAATCTGGTGTCCTGTTAGTCAAGATTTTCTCTAATTTTCCTAGAGGTGTCAGAAGGATGGACAAATGGACGTGGAACTAAAATGTATCCTCAGAGGAAATTTGAGAAACACAATGGTGTTGAGAATATTCAATGCTGCTCGCTGCAATTCCCGAATCTCTTAAAAGTTCTTTTCCACTGTTACCTTTAGCCCAGTTAGAATCAAAAGCGTCCGTGTTTTCGAAATCTTGCTTTAGAATTACACTTGGCTTTGAAGTTTTTCTCACGACATCCAAAGTTGAACTGAAAAATGTTTTACTTCTGCTGTCTTTGCGTGTACTTTGCCCACAGGGACGGCAATCCTCTTTGGGATGCGGCTCTATTTCCTCTTCATTCAGTTCCCGGGTCAGTGTTAGTGGTGTCTTCTTGAAGTAAAATGCCTCGTGAAGCAGGTGAGGTATAATCCAAAGCAAAAAGCAGGTACAATAGTGGGTTTGAGACCTGTATTTCTGACAGCCTTTCCCATAATATCACTGCTTCTATTTAGTTCACTCACCAGTGCAAACATTCTATCTATTTCAGCCCCAAAGCTTATCCAGTCCTCCAGGCTAACGTTATAATTCTTTCTGAAGTCATACACATTTGCATTTAGTCTGTCCACAGATTCAAGTTCTGGCCAGTTTGTATCCTCATGGAGGCGCAGCAGCTGGAGGAGGTTAGCCCTCCCATCCTTCCCACAGTTGTCCTCTTTAAAATAAAACAAACACAATTCAGTGTATAACATTCTACTAGGAAGCAGAAATATATTGTTAATGGTTCCATGCAGGGAAAAAAAAATTAAACACTGTGGACCACTTATAAAAATATAGCAGGTATATCACAGAAACAATCCAACTATGTTTGAAACCTGTACAAAACTTGTAGCTCATTAATTCTAGCTTTGTTTTAGTTCTAAAGCCAGTCAAATAGTACCATTAAATGAGCAAATCCTCTTGGGGGAGTTGAGAACGCTAGACCGTCCCCGTTAAGGTACTTTTATGTATTTTTTCTCTGCGCAATTTGAGAGCACCTTAGGATTTTAATTGAGCTGAAGTCTCAACCCTCTGTTTAAGGGGAGATACAGAGACAGCAGCTGGCACTGCAAAGGTAGTATTTTTTTCATGTCTTTAAATTTGTATCTCACCTTTGGGCTCTGGCAAGCTGAGAACTAAATATCATCAAGTTTTAAAGTGCAGTTAAGTAAGCAAAATGTAATCTTAGATTTTAGTATAATGTCAGAATAAAACAAAATGTACTGTTCTAATTTGCTTTTTTTGCTCACAGCAGATGAAGCGGTGGTTGGTAAAACAGCAAGAAAATACACAATATTCTCTCTGAGAAATTGTAATCTGTTTTATTCTTTCTGGATGGTGTAAGAGACTACTAGGTAGCTGCTACAAATTTAAATTTAGACAAAACCAATATTATCATCTCTAACTTTTAATGAGAGTTAACCATAGTCGGTGTCTTCATCTGAGCAGCCACCTTTGCTCACATTTGAAACTGCCTTAACCTTAATGCTCCCAGATTCCCAGAAACATGTACCAAGAGGTTTTGTACAGCAGGA